CGGGGCCGGGGCGGGGCCACAGCGCAGCCCCGCCTTCGTTCTCGTCGCCTAGGCGACCGCCGGGCGCGCTCCCGAGAGGCCCTGCGCCGTGCGCGGAAGCTTCCGTCCGCGCTGGGATAAACAAGCGGCGCGCGGCATCCGCCCGTTAACACCCGCCTGAAACGCGGGCGGAACCTGGGGCCCGGGTACTGCGCGTGCGCGCGGCCCGCTCCCGTCCGACTGACTCCCACGCTCGGGAGGTGGCGGGGACGAAGCGGTAGAGGGATCTGGGTGAGATTCAGGCCGCTGGATGAGGCGGGGAGTCTGCAAGAGATGCGCATATCAGGGACCCCGTGGCACGGGGCTCTTGGATCCGTTAGAGACATAATGACATGAAGCTTTATTTAGGGGAGCTTCGAGGCTGCGGCCTGCGGCTGCCTAGACACCTGAAGCTTAGTTTCCCACGCCAGGATGTTAGGGCGGGGTGACTGGCCCTTCCAGCTCTCGCCCGCTCCGGGGCTAGACAGCGGCGCCCAGACACCACGCAAGCCTGGGCCCCGCCCAGTGACGGCGGCGTCGCCCCGCCCACCGCCACGGCCCCGCCCCCTCGGGTGCGTGATTGAAGTGGAGCTCTTCCCACGCCCTGCCAGCCACGAGCACTTGGAAAACCTGGAGAATGGAGAGCCTGGGCGACGACCGAGGGAACATCTCATAGCAACAGCCTGCCGGGGCATCTACTAGGAAACTGGGGTTCATTTTAGCCAATTAGATCACATTCCCGGACTCCATGCTAGCACTTACGACCAATAGAGAGGGTTCTCATACCATGTGATGCCCGCTCCTTCGGCCAATCGATAAAAATTCTAGACGCAGATTCTGGGGAGCCAACCCACCTCCCAGAATCTCGCCAGCCAGGGCGTTTGCCCCCTGCGCACTCTCTGCCAACCAATCGCAGAAGAGCTAATGCATGACGGAGGTTTGTGGCTGAGCCAATCAGAACTCGTGATTCCCCTGCCTCCCTGGGCTGCTGGTGGGGAAAATTGGAGGGGCAGAGATTCAAGGGCTTAGTGGCTGTGCCCTGTTCTGGCAAAAGGACAGGATGCGTTGGCAGACAAGGATGATGAATCCTGCTTTTAACGTCTTCTCTGTGGCATTCTTTCTAAACGATGGGCATGGAAGTGGAGCTGAGGGATATGAGCTGGGTCGTGGGTGGAATGGAGAAAACTGGCACTTTTGTCTTTAGGGTGGGAAAATTTTCTGGTCCTTAAAAAGCTATCCTGCAGAAGTTGCACAAGTCCTCCAAGCGTGCTTTCTCCGAAGACACACTTCTACACGCTTCTTTTTGTTTAACTTGCTCAGTTTTAAAACCTAATATTCCTGCCTCTCTCATTTAGGTCTTAGGACAGACACCATAACATCAAATTTAGGGAGACTTTGCTACCTCAGAAGTGTGTGTGTGTGTGTGTGTGTGTGTGTGGTAACTGGTTATTACAGTTACTGTCCTTAAAATATATCCTGCTGGGATTGGCCACCCTGAGTCATTACTACCTCACTTTTTTTTGAGAATAATGTATTTATGCAATACTAATGTTAGATCATGTCGTACCTCTCCACAATGCCTCTTCCCACAAGGTCATTGTAGAGGAGATTTAGGTCTGAGTTCCTCTAAAACCCAGGATTCTTTTTACCATCATTCCTGTCAGGTAGTAAACTGCAGAAATGTACTCTGAGATACCATGCCACGCTGTCTTTTGCATTAAAGGAATAGCTCGTGTTTGCATTGCCTAGCTATAGCACTTCACAATTTCCGTTAAAATAATTAAGGGCAAATGTCCTGTCAGATTTAAAGTGTAAGTTATAGTTGCTTCTCAGTAACATACAGTTATCTCTCCATATCTGTGGGGGATTGGTTCCAGGTTGCACCTCCCTACACCAAAATCTGCCAGATGCTCAAATCCCTTATATAAAATGGCATATTTGCATATAACCTACGCAATCCTCCCATATACTTTAAGTCATCTCTAGATTGCTTATCATACCTAATAAAATGTAAATGTTATGCAAATAGTTATTCTATGTTGTTAAAGAAATAATGGGAGGGAGGAGTTGGGGGGGAGAGGGAAGGGATGGTAGGGGAAAGACAAAGGAGGAGGTAACAATGCTCAATAGGAAATGTACTCATTACCTTACTCATGTAAGTGTAACCCCTCTGTACAGTATTTTTACAATAAAAATATAAAAAATACAAACAGAACAGGAAAAATGTCTACAAGTTCAGTACAGATTCATCAGCTGTCATGCTCCCTTCATTATTTTTGTTGTTGATTGAATCCATGGATCCAGGAGTCAGGGATATGGAAAGCTGAAAGTATGTCTTTTTCTCTTCCTCCCTATTTTCCTCCCTTCCTCATTCCCTCCCTGCCTCTCTGCCTCCCTTCTTCTCCCCACTCCTTTCCCGTCTCCCTCTCTTTTCCTTCCTTTCTTCTTTCCTTCCTTCCTTTTTTAAAAAAAATAAGTTCTGAGGATTGAACTCAGAGCCACTAACCTCACGTGCTTTACCTCCAGCTATACCCACAGTCCTTTTTTTTTTTTTGCTTTTAGCTTACTCATCAGAGACAGTCTCTGGCACTTTGTCCAGTGTGGTTACTTCCCCTAGTGGACCTCTTAACTTCCTCCTGTCTGCCTCCAAAGTAGCTGAGATTACTGGTTAGACATGTACACCATGCCCTGCTCAGTCATTATTTCTATATGTTATAACAATATGAGTTAAATCAGAGCCATCAGAATCAGCAGTGAAGGCAGAATGTAAGGGAAAGGAAGAATCAGGAATGTTTAAAGGGAATTGAAGTAGAGTGTATCATAGCTTAATTAAGGAATGTAAAGAAGGCGAATTAAAATTGAGATAATTTATGTGTATGTTTCATGTCAGTTATATTTTCATCAATGTTTCAAGAGATGTGGTAGGTAAATAGAGTGTTCAACTATATGAATGGCTCTTATTTTGTATAAGACAGCAATTGTTCCTTTTGATGATAAGAGATTCTTAGGTGTGTTGAGGATTAGGCCAAGGAGCATCAGACTTTTTTTGTATAGATCATCACAGGCCATCTAATACCTTGTATTTCTGTTTTTAACTTTTTATCTTTCCTCTAATTTCACCCCAACCCATTTTCCATTGTTTCTGGTCCTTCACTCCTGGTTGTGTGACATTGAGCTAAACTATATCTATAGTCAGTGTAACTGTGCCAAAGTGGCTCATGGTATTATCCTTTTGGTTCAAATCGCTTTAAACATCATAACATACTTGCTCACTGATTACAACTATATATACTCCCCACTCCTGAAACATAATACCCCTCCCTTGACAAAGCAAAGCAGTTATAGATAGGGGAATACCTATCTATGATTTTGAACCTCTGAAATCAGTGCAAATACACATCCCAGGGTTGGATTTTGTCTTAAAATTGTGCTCTGTGGTGGTATTGGACCTACTTACATATCCAGAAAAGGAGAGAGTGAAAACACCTATCTTTGTGAGCCTCTAAAGACTGCACCAGTATAGGGCTTTGGATTGGTTGCTTGTCTTAAAATTGTATTCTGCGGAAGTGGATATACTTTCCAAAAAAGGAGCGATAGAGTGAAAATACCTATCTTTGATTGTGAACCTACAAAATCTGTGCAACTGTAAGACTCTGGATTAGTGCTTGTCTTAAAATTGTGTTCTGGTGTAGAATTGGTTTTGCTTTCATTCCCAAATGGGCAGAACAAGCCATAGAAACACAAGAAAAATGGTTAGTCAAGGAACCACAACTCCCACTTAAGATAATCAGGCAACACAGCAATTAATGAAAAATCCAGAGAATAGTTCTCAAAATGCTCTACAAACACTATTAGTAAACATGTTGAATGGAAACATTGAAAGCCTGCATAGAACTATGTATGCATGAGTGTGATGAGGCTAACCAAAGAGTAATAGTTGAATTCATGGAATCAGCAAACAGAAAGCTGAGTGAATTCCAAACTAGTACCTTGCATTTCTGTGGAGATGAAAATCCTTCCACTTTGTGAGGAATAAGAGTCCAAGATTGTTTTTGAGAAACTTGCATTAGGATTATGGGTGCTAAAGGTAAGCTTTAACGACCTTTTCCCTTCTGCATCCCAAAGAGTTGGGAATTCTGTATTGAGGTCCATCTGATAGAAATTGTCACAGAACTGTGTGGAGATGGATCATACCTGTAGTCACAGCTACTCAGGAGGCTGAGAACTGGCAGATTGTGGTTTGAAGCCATCCCAAGCAGAAAAAGTCTATAGGACTCCATGTCCAATAAACCAGCAAAATGCTGGACTGGAGGTGTGGCTCAAATGTTATAACACCAACTATCAGCAAGTAAACCTAAGTTTAAGCACCAGTACTGGCAAAGAGAAAACAAAGTTATCACAGAAGAGTGACCTAAAATAGTCACCTAAAATAGTCACCTAAAAGAGTCACCTAAAATAGTGACTCTGCCTAGCCTAATAGAGAGTAGGGAAGCTTTGTGAGGTTTTCCTATCTTCTTCAACCTTTCATCATTGTTGACAATTTTCAAGTAGGAGAAGCATGAAGACTCTAGTCCATGAAATAGTTGTAGTTCATTTTTGTTTCTCATATTATTAGGCCTCAGGTTTTAATTTTCAGTGCCATGTAGGAAGTTTTCACAACCCAAGCAATACATAGCACATATGTCTTACCTATTCTGTATTCTGGCATGGGTCA